CGATCCTAGGATGGCGCAAGGTTTCCGGCGCGGGTTCAACCGAGTAGCGCGACAGCACCGCCGCCATACCAGCCAATGACTGCATCAGACCCAGTCTCTCACCTGGAATTATATTTTACACCTATGAATTTTAACTGACGACAGGACTTTTACTTAGTTCTAGTACATCCACAACCTTCCGAAGTACCCCCATGCATACTATAGAGATAATAATATTTTTATTTTATTATTGCAGACCTAAATCATATTTCTTCATTCTAATGTTTCAGTAAATATCATCTACGACTAACAAAAAAAAATCGGCATATCGTTCTACCTCTTACAGCAGTTTTTCCAACATGAATTGTTTGCATCGCTTTGTATTTTCATTGAAACTATATTGAATGAATACTGTAAAAGATAAATAAAAACAAACAATTTAAACTTACCAATACATGCCCGGGGACCTTCTCCAAATGGTAAATATATATGTTTGGTCAATGGGTTAATGAAATCCGTTAAGAAACGACCTGGCTTGAATTTCTCGGGCTCCTCGAAATACAGCGGATCCATGTGCAACGCCTGCACTGGTATAAATAGTGAAACGCCCTCGTCTATAGTCAGGTCCAAGTCGGGGAATGTGTACTTGCGGGCACATTTTCTTACTAAGTGACCCAACGATGGGAACATTCGAATGCCTTCTTTGAAAGCGCAATGTAAGTAAGTCATTTCAGAAACCGCATCATAGCATAGCTTGTTATCGTATTTCGCTAAAACTCTGTCGACTTCTTCTTGCACTTTTCGCTGTTCCTCAGGATTGTATGCAAGTTCATGCAGCGTATAACTGGTTGAGGAAGATGAAGTTTCGAATCCCGCAGCGAAGAAAACTACAATCTGAGCCATCATTAATTCTTCGGTCAACTCCAAAGATACTTCTTCAGGCATGCCATTCGACTTTACTGATTCTATAGATTGACCAACCATTTTTCCTTTTTGCTTACTTTCCAGAAGAAGATCGATGAAATCGTGTCTACCGCATGGTTGGTAATTTCTCTTTTGCAGAATAGTTTTGACAAGGGCGTACGCGTCTTTTTCTATTTTGCTAAATATTCTAAAATGTTTGCATGCTTCAGGGAACATCTCTTTAAGCATTTGTT